ACAAAACTTAAAAGCTCTAAAAGAACTTAATTTGGTTTTTTAATATTGGAATTTTAGAAAAAAAAAACCTTATGGTAAGGCCAAATATTAGTAATTAATGAATCTTCACAAATCATACCAAAAATAGCAACAATATCACATAAAACACGAAGAGCGTAACACTCAATGACATCTAAGACGAATAAAAAATCATATATATTATATTGTAGATATATAGAACAGTGACACTAATATAAATATTAATGAATAATAAGAAAATAGGAACTTAGGCATATGTGTCAAATACCATAAAGCAAAATAGGAAATATATAAATTGATACATAGTGCTCCTGTATATAATCAAAGAACTTAAATAGCAGAAGAATGAGCTCTTCACTTAGTTTGATGGTACGTCCGCCCTCCCGCGAGCGGAGTAATTTACCTGCAATTTGAAGGAGTGGAGAAACTACAGAAAACAAACGAACTACAGCAGTGTCCTTGATTATAGCGGTGCCTTTCGGATGGAGGGAAATTGCTCTCATGTACTTTCTGCTCTATCTTTTTTATTTATTATCTTTGATACAATACACTCGAAACCCAACCCTGTTTAGGGGAGACCTATTAAGAGGACAATTTAGTTTGGTCCCGAAGGTGTTCCCTTAATAAGGCTTGTACTGTGCTATCATAACAGATGTTAGCTAAATAATAAGTTGACCATAATTGACTTCTGTAATTTTACTACTAGACTAATCAACTGGTTACGGTGCTATCAAGTAAAAGTGTATACATCATATTATATCGTAGCTATACAGAACAATGACTACATAATATTAAAATAAATGAAGAAAATGAAAATAGGCATTTAGACCTGTGTGAATAATACTAAAATAGGAATTTAGGCCATGTGTCAAATATCACATAGCAAAATACGAACTAGCCGCATATATACTGCCCTGATTTGGAAAAAGGCAATATCTGTAAAATCCAGGTTTTGAGAAAATGAGCAAAACGCGCTTGGTTTTAGCCAAAGAAAAGAACAAATGATATTCAATTATTTCAAGTAAATTTAAAAAAAACTATATTATTAAAAAATTTGTCATATACTTTCTACTGATTATTTTAATTTTTTTTTTTTTGGGGGGGGGGTCAAAAAGCAGATAATGCCTTTTTCGGATTATTTGTGCCTATAGATAGGAATTAATAATTTAACACTTGGGCATTATCTGCAATAGTGTTTGAAATTATCGATGAATTTCAAAATTTGTGCATGAGTATTGTAAATGTATGTCGCTGTAATTAAAAATAAAAAACAATTTGTCTTGAAAATATATTCTAAATTTGATGTAAAAATAAAAAAAATTAGTGTTTCGAAAATGTACTCGCATTGAAAATTATAATTTCTTAATCGAAATGCTTAACAAATGTTTTGTAAGGTATACAAGATAAACCAATAAAGAATAAAATAGATGGAATGGGTTTTATATATTTTAAGCCTGGTGGAGCTTAGGTGGGTTAGCTTCCGGCCGGGGGAGGGGGTTTGGGGCGGTGTTGAGGGTCGGTTTCAGGTTTTATATGTAAGGTAAATTTGGATGCAAATTGAAAAGTTATCTATGACATGTTTTACTGTTATGTTTCTAATCTAATGCCACATCAAGCTGTTCCGATTATCTTCATAATCACTATCATCATCATTATGGTCACTGGATAATAATGCTACTAAAATGATATTTTTAAATTCTCATGAATTTTACAGACACCAAATACATATTTAGAGCAACTCTTTTATAAAACAATTCAAATTAATTATTTCAAATATGTAAACTTAGAAACAAAGGATACATTTTAATATTTTTTAAGGTATCACATTAGGTATTATATGTTTCATCCTCACTGAACGATAAATATAGACATTCATATAGCGTTTTTTTTTGCCAATGAATACAATGATATGTGGACTATGAACTCGATCAATAATTAAGATGGCAAAATATAATTTACTTAAACTTACAAAGTAATATTTATATTGCTTATGGATTGTTAATATTAGTTTTTTATTAAATTAGTAGAAAAACATATTTAGTAATACACATTAAATAGAACAAATGTATTACATGTAAAAAAGATGCACAAAATTCGCATTAAAATTAATATTTATAATAATTACACGTTAAAAAGCTCCTAAATAAGCTGTAACTTGTGTCAAAGTAAAAGAAATCATCAGAATGATATGAAGTTTCGAAAAGGTTATAAGAAAAACAATGTAAATAATGCCATTTTTTTCGAATTAATCCACAGAACATGGACCTATAATTAATAAGATGCTCAGAATAGGTCCATGCTCAGAATAAAGCTGGAACAAAGTAGGCATTATCTTAGAGGAGATCTAATTAATATTTATCACATTGACACCTGATTGGATAACTGCTTCCTGCCTGTGTGAAGTCAACCGTTCGAAGCTAATTGTGGCCTTTAGTGTAGTCATGGACCTATTTGATAGGTCCATGGTGTAGTTAATGCCTCATTCCAAATCATTTGTAGGGGTATGTGTAGATAATGCCCATTTAAAAAAATAAATATCACATTTAGAGTAATACTTTTGGCTTTCTAGTAAATTAAGGTGATAGATTATACCCTCAGGAGTCATTTAAGACAACAATCTCAATTTTGAAAAAAAAAATGTAGTTAATGCCTTTTTCTGAATCAGGGCAGTATAGCGCTCCTCTGTTTATTACAATCGTGAAATCATTTTTCTTCTTAAAGGGCTCGTACATAATGAAAACATAACTAAGCAGGAAGTTAAGGCAGTTAATGAACGAAAGTACAAATACTGTGCAACAAAACTTTGCAATATCCATAAAAAAAAAAAAACCCCCAAAAAAAAAAAACAAAAAAAAAAAACCAAAACACTACAATGGCAGAACGGGCACCTAGAAACAATCAAAAGGGTTACGATAACCAAAGATTATCATGTATTAAAATGATAAAATTTATAGTTCCCTGCATCGCTTTTTCGTCTAAGATTGTTAATACCAATATATATGGATTTTTAAAATTATTAGTAAACTCTAAAAGTAATTGAATAAGCCTTAACGTTTGAAACACATGAACTTTCTGACAAGTGGCAATGGACGCCGGCATTCCCCGGCACCACCCCGTCGCAATTTACGGTACGTAATTATAGGAGTAACGTAAATAATGCACACGTAACTAAAATACAATATTTCACTAGAGTATAATAATTAGTACAGTGCTGAAGATACAGAATGCATTATTGTCCAATGATTAGAAGTGCGTGAATCATTAACACTTTATTTTAACAATGTAGTTTAACTAGGTGTAAAGGTCATTAGTAACGTATTGATTTATATCCTAATCCTGATGTGTAAATAGTTACATGTCATAGATGTCTTCAGTGATTACATGTCTTCGATAATTACACGGTTTCTTTTATAAGTCACACTGCTTACAGTAGCGACGCTACTATGGTGCTTTACCCGGTTGTTAAACCTTTTTTTGATTGTCTGCCGCACCTAAAATACAAAAATTACAATTAAAATACAGTAGGATTATTTTTTAACGAAAATCTTTACAAAGCTTGAAAAAAAATTGTTGCTTTAAAAAAAATGCTTACATAGATAGTAAGGTAAGGTTTTTGCTAATACTGGTTACAAAGATGTTTTCGTCAGATAAACTGAATACAATATCTTTTCGTCAGTTACAATTTCAACATAGAGTGATTAAACCGTATAGATTATGATAGTAGAAAAATTAGCTTTCGTCAGTTCATCTGCAATAGTTTACAAAACATTTAAAGCAACATGGAATCACCTCTTTGCTGAAGGCGCACTGCGAGAGCCACACGAAGAATCCTTGCATGGAATTCAAGACAACATAGATGTATTCCACCACTTTCCAATCACAAAAAACGATGATGACACCAAAAATCCATGGAAGTCCCACGGCTGGGGCAAGGAGCAATATACCATGAAACATATTCCTGTTAACAAAAATGAAAAATATGCTCACTAAATATTCATGGGAAACAATTATTATATCGACAGCACACTTATTGACAGTCCTCTATCACCTGAAACGGATCACAATATTATACTCTCGGGTGATATAATTCAGAGCTGTCACATCAGAGTGTATAACTCCGCCCTGTGCCTAAATACTGAACAGTAAGCAGTCTGTGTATTGGCAATTTCTTTCCTTTTTAAAACATTAATTCAGCAGTAACTCGCCAATTACAGGATAAACGATGCTTTATAAATTATGTCTTTAAATAAGGCTTAGGGAGTGGCGTTGTTTTCTGTCGTGAGAAACAATCCTGCTGTGACTGCAATTGAAGCCGAGTTCTACGATTAGAAGCCAAGCATCGTAACCATTAGGCTACTGAACTCCACTCCACTTTATGCTCGAGATTGAAAGAAAATCAAATTTCCAAGACATTGACCTTGATTTTTGACCACTTCTTCACAAAATTTAATCATGTGTTTCTTTTGTTATTATGTACTATTCAACTAAACTTTATAATGATTAATTTCATAGTTTCTGGGTAATCTTGCTAGCGGACAAACAGACAGAGAATACTAATCAAGAGGAATTATTATTTACTTATGATCGGCATTGGCCAATAATCGAAGAATTGTTCGGAAAAGATCAAGGTAGGTGATCCTCGGGTTTTAATATATTTTTGTAGGCCGCAAGACATACCGTCGGACCCGCAAATAGCCCGTGATGGGTTATTTTAAATAGTACATTGACATAAATATTCTTGTAAAGAATATGTTTTTGTTATAACTATTTGGATTTGTTAAAATATTTGGTTTTATTGTAATGCAGAAATGATTTTTTTTTCTAACCTGATTCTAATGAACCTTTGTATTTCTTCTTTAGATTGGTCCGGTATTTTAGATTTCTCGAACGTTACGTAGCCAATAACACACAACTGTACGATGATAATCTATAATAGAATGTTACGTTTTAAATGAAAAGTAAGCAAATACGGTATGTTGCAAAACCTCTCATAACTGAAAAAAGTACAATCCAGCCTAGTATGCGGATATTATAGTAATATATCTTTCAAGATGTTGGTAATATATAAAAACGAAATGTAGGATGAAAATCTTTATAAATGATTTATCTTTTTAGTATTGTGCACAGAAGCTGGAATACAGCACAATTGATAATAGAAAACATTGAAAGCCTATCGAATCCAGAAAAAAATTAACCATTATTATCTTTAACTTGGCTAAAAAACAAATTGTTTATTTTTTTCCAACCAGGTTATCATGCTTTCTAGATGTAATGTATTAAAGGTTTGTGTTAGTATGTTGAAAAGAGAAACATTACCAGATTGGTGAGGCAGACTATCAGAATGAAACTCCAAATGGTACCAGATTCAGTATCTAACCAGCACCTAAAATTAACATAATTTAAAAAGTAGAAATACCGGTGTTTACTGTTTTCGTTAAAATAGTTCCGAGTAGTTCAGCACTCAGCTGACATGACAAATGATGTGCTACTCATTGCAATCAGTTGTGGCCCCAGAGATTTGCCGAAAGGGAATTAAATAAATCTGACATAGAGTCCAGACTAAAGAGATGCGTACATCAGAGTCCTCGAGTAAATGGTTGAAACTGTGCTTGAAGACCACAATATTAGAAATTGAAATACTTTGGTAGGATTGGCTAAATAATGCTTATATAGTCTGAGGACTTCAAGTGTTTAACGACAACTGGAGGTCCGACGGTGAAACATTTTCCTCATTGACTCCGCTGGCGCAATCATTGCGACTTAATAAGGATTTTATTGGAGTAGGGGAAACTATCCCCAAGCCCCACATGTTCCCTTAACAATTATATCTATGGTTTAACGCAAACACATTTGCTACTGCCAATATATATATTTACTTCCAACAATAACAAATATAAAATTAAAAAGGTCGTGCAGGGGCAGTCACGAATAAGCAAAAGTTAAAAAAGATAGTGCTGCTTCATTTCTTTGTCAACAAACTCAGCACCAATACAATAATATACTTTAGGAATTATGCATAGGCCCAGGCCACTAAAATATAAAAAAATAGTATTTAGTCAAAGAATCTTCAAAATTAATATTTAAAAAATGAATAGTACGGTAATTTATTCCTAAGTATAAAAGTAACAAATTAATTTGATTATTTGTCGGCTGAGCTTTGCTGCTCTTATACTAGTATTCAGTAACGGTAACATTTTTTTCTTATTCTTAATCCTATTACTACAGTATAGTGTTAATAAGTTTATATATGTAGTAGTAATATATATATATATATATAT